TCTTTTGTGGTAGTTTTCAGTCCAGTGTACACACAAAGACCAGCAGTTCTACTCCCACATTGTTTAACACAACGCATAAACCCACAACATCTTTAGGAGAGATGTAATGGGAAGAAAAGAGGGATGTAGTGAAGGCTAAGTCTGATGACAGTACTGTGCATGGCACTTAGATGCATTAGAGAAGTTTTGGGCTGCTCTGACCAAATCACAAGCTCTCTCATGAAATACTAAAAGGAGATATCTTGGAAAATACCCTAATATGGAACCACTGAAAACAAGTACCCTAATGATTTGGTATAACAGGTCAATACCGGGTAGAATGGTAGCTGGCCAAAGCTGGCAGCTGATCCCCTTGTCTACAGAAGGAAAACGGTCCATCTATTATGTTCTTTTTCTGCCATGTCTTTTTGTCTATAACTCATCCTACCAAATTTTTACATTTTCATATATTTGATCAGACTTCTTAGAAATATGCATTTTGATACAAACCACGATGCATCTTCCCAATTCCAAAGATCTGTGCTGATGCTATGTACTCTCTTTCAAACTCCCTACAAATTTGGTGTCAGTGTGTCTTAAACTTACCTCCTGCAGAGAGCTATAGGAAATCTATTTAAATGAAGAAAGTATTCATAGATTTTTAACTCATCTGAAAACGAGAAATTTCCATAGTCAAAACCAACTGATGATTGTCCGACAAAACCAAAAAATGATCCATCATGTATGAGTGAGGCTTCCCATTTTGTTTTTCTTTCTGGTAAAGACTGCATCTATGCTTCAGAAACACAGGTTTCTGTTCTTTCTACCATGGGCACAATTTTACAGCTCACACAATTAAGACAAGGTTCTCAGGGAATTCTTGCAACTGTTGTCTGTCTCAGTGATTGGTGATAATAAATACTTCTGTCTGGATAATCTATTCCAAATCACTTCTAGGTCAGCAGTCCCTTTCTCTGTACGCGTGAGTTTTGTTTGTTTGTTTGTTTGTTTACAGGAAGAATCCCCAAACCTATTCCCCACTGGCTTTTACTGGTCCTGATGCAAAAGCTATCTTTTAATAACTTATTTATGACCAAATGCTGCTTTCCAAGACATGGCTGCAGAATAAAATATTTACGCACTTTCTGACAGATCTTCAGTGAAGCAATATGAATTTACATTAAAAGAAGAGATGCCAGTGAACGGTACCTTAATGCTTTAATCGATATAAACCAGCTTCCCGGCACTGCTAATAGACTCTGCCTATCTTTTTCTCCGGACATGAAAGAATCCTAATAACCGGTTCAACTAAAGACCTAATTTCTGTGAGTTGCTCGTCATTTTGGTTCCAGGGTGACGACGGTCGCGGGTTGCCCTCTTGCTCCGTGTCCCCTCCTGTCACCCCAGGGCGGGCAGCGCGCTGCAAGCCCCTTGCCCCGGTGCCGGGCGCTCGCCAACCCCCCCACCCCGGCGTCCAGGTGCGCACGTGGTCGGCGGCCCTCGGGCTGCCGGGCTCCGTCCGCGCGGGGCGCCCTGCACCTGTCCGGCGCCCGGCCGCGGCCCCGGGGGGAGGACCGGGGGGAGGCCCGGGGGCCCCGGGAGGAGGACCGGGGGACCGGGGGGAGGACCGGGGGCACTGGGGGGAGGACCGGGGGCACTGGGGCACCGGGGGGAGGACCGGGGGCACCGGGGGACCGGGGGACCGGCTCTCCCGCGGCGGGACCTGCCGTCCCGGGGCGAGGAGCGGCGGGGACCGGGGGGAGGGGACCGGCTCTCGGGCTCTCCGTCCGCAGGACCTGCCGTCTCGGGGCGCGGGCACCGGGGGGACCGGGGGGACCGGCTCTCCGGCGGCAGGACCTGCGGTCCCAGGGGGACCGGGGGGGTCCGGAGGGGGGACCGGGGGACCGGCTCCGTCTCGGCCCGCAGGACCTGCCGTCCCGGGGCGCGGGGCCGGGGCGCGGGGCAGGGGCGCGCTCCTCCCGCCCGCCGTGTGCGCGGGGCCGCGGGCGCGGGGCGGCGCTCGGGCCTGGGGCGTCCGGGGCAGGGCGCGGGGGCCGCCTACCTTTCTGTGACAGCCGGAGGCGGGGGTGCGCGGCGCCGGTCGCGTGTCCTCCCGGCCGCGGCTGCAGGAGGTGCCCGCACAGGAGCCAGGTGAGCAGGCTGGCGGCCCGGGCCATGCCGCGGGCGGGGTGCAGGGTGCGCGGGGGGTGCAGGGGCGCAGGGGGCGCACGGGGGGCGCAGGGGGCGCGGGGGTGCGGGGCGCGGGCGCGGTCAGCAGGGGGCACGGCCGCCCCGGGCCACGCGCCAGGCCGGGCTGCGCGGCGCAGAGCCCCCGGGCTGCGGGCGGGCGGGCGGCGGCGGGGGGCGGGGGGCCATGGGGGGCTGCCGGCCGCGTCCCGTCCGCGCGGCCCCGGGCTCGCTGCTCCTCGAGTCGCTCGCGCAAGCGCTTCCCTCGGAACCGGCCCCGGAGCACACGCGCTGCCCTCCGCGGGGCTGGGCGCCCACGGCCCGCCGCTCCCCACCTGCCCCCGCCGAGCGGCGCCCGGAAGGGCCGTGCCCGGGGCGCGGGGAGGGGCGGGGAGGGGGCGCGGGGAGGGGCGGGGGGCGCACCCGCGAACTTCAGGCGGGGCCCAAGGGGGCGCGGGGGTGGTGGGCGCGGGGGGCGGGGACGCGGAGGGCGGGGGCGAGGGGGCGGGGGCGGGGCGGGGGGGGCGGGGGGCGTGCGCACCCGCGAAGTTCAGGCGGGGCCGAGCCCACGTGCGCCGCGCGGGGGGCCCGGGGGGGGGGTGGACGCGGGGGGCGGACGCGGGGGCCCGGGGCGGGGAGGGCTTTTAAACGCTCACTCCCCAGGATTAGCCCTTGAATTCATTTTAGTCCTTTTTAAATCATTCACTTTACCTAAATGCAGTCTAAATCATCCATTTGTCACCATCCAGCACCCAAGTTGATTTTTTGCAGTTTCCACGGAAATCGTATTTTTTTTCGCCTTGATCACCTTTGAAAAAAAAATACATCTTAGAAATGCTATTTTCACCTCTTGGAAGAAAACTACGTTTCAAGAGCCTGAAAAAAAAATTCACCTGTGATTGTTTCATAAATGTGTTAGTACTAAAAAATTATTCTACTTAGGCAAGTCCTTCAAACCAATTAAAAGCAAATGCTTATTTATTTATTTATTTATTTATTTATTTATTTATTTATTTTTAGCAAGTCATAAATTTCAGCCCCAGTTTAAGAATACATTTTGAAGTGATTTTCTCCTGGGTAAGGTACCAACGGAAAAGTGGAGGGTCTCTATGTGACAGATCCCGGGAAAGCAGGTACTGGAAGATTCCGGATGTGAAATTCTCCTGCTGTGCACTCTCGGAATTTATTTTCCAAGACACTATGTTTGTGTAAATAAGCTTAACACAGTAGGTCAACTTTACAATCTACTTTCAATCAATCTCAAAAACTAAACCAAACACTCTGTAGCCCGTCGGCATGGAAATGAATGTCACTATTTTAAGTTACCAATAAACTGGAATAGGTATTTGATTTGATGGTTGGGAGCTAAATGGCAAACAAATGATTTCAGCTATAACTTTCCTTATTGTTTTTAAATGGTACTGTTAAGGCCACTTCTTGAGAAGTATGTGTTTAAAATCATATGATTATAATGAAAAGATAATGCAGGTTACACTGATATTTTGCATTATATATAAGCAAATATAGAGCCAGGCATTATCTACCCATTTTCCTAGGCATGATATGCTCTATTACAAGCAGAGTATATTTTAGTAAAATGTAAATGTCACTGGATATTATAAATAATTAGATTTCCAAGGGCTACAAAAGATAACAAACTCTAAACATTATTTAACAGTAGAGTAACATGAAGTATTTAGAGACTTTTAACCTGGGGTGGTCTCTGTAGGCACTTGCATATTTTAAAAGCCAGTCTGATGAGCTACAGACCTAAACGTTGCTCCAAGTGTGATATGCTGTACCTTTGGAATCCTCTTTGACTCTCTTTCAGAATTGAAGTAACTAGAAAGTAAATAGCAGCTTTTATATGTGTTATCTAATGGTAGGATTCCAGGAAAAGTAAATGTAGCGCATATAACTTTTATTACAAATATATGGCTCGTCTCAAACAACTGAAATTCCACTTAAGATTGTGCAGTGCCTGTTCTAACTCTAGTAGGGACATGAGGCCGTGTAAGACGTTACAGCCATTTCATTAGGATACGGAATTCATACCATTAATGTCTATGAGACAATAAATGTCACGCATGTCAGTTACGTACGTACAAGCCAGATAGCGAGATTCATCTTCAGTGTTACGTGTCACCTGTCAGGTCAGGTTAGCGCACAGTGACGGATACACCAGATTAATGAGCTCCTCTGGTTTCTCAGAATGTGCTTTGGTTTATCCTTCGGTCAGCAACCTCACTGCTCACCCCTTTAGCTCCTCTGTATGTCCTCCTATCTTCCTCTCTAGTGTATGATCTAAAGATGAGGCCGAAAGGAAAAAACAAAATTATTAAAAACTCTGAACATAAATGACCATAGTCTCAGCTGCCCCCATGTGTTTTTAGCCACTATCAATGGAATGAAGAGCGTCGGACACCAAAATCAGTCATTTGCATCATGAAATAAAATCACAAGAACCCTCAGGAGCAGGGTCACCACATAATTTATCATACAAACAAGACAGGTTTTAAGAGTAAATCACATGCAAACCAAGAACATCATGACAAGTCACTCTTCCTGGAAGAGATTTCTAGGTACCCTTGGAAACATGGCAACAGAAAAAAAAAAATTAAATAACAAGACTGACCTGCCACCAGTACTGAATGAATAGCTTCAGTGAACTGAAGAGCTTTGGGACTAGCAACAGTATCTGTTGGTGCTATTAGCTTTAATTTGAGAGGAGCTAAACTGCCAGTTTGAATAGCATTAGACAACACGGAAAGCCAGGTAAGAAGGGAAATGGCAGTTCTTTATTTTTTTAAAAAAGACTTCTTTCTTTTAAAGAGAAAAGAAAAAGAGTGCACACAAGTGGGGAGAGGGGCAGAGAGTGAATCTTCCAGCAGACTCCTCACTGAGCTAGGACCCCAACCCAGAGGCCTGTCTCACCACCCATGAGATCACAACCTGAGCCAAAGCAGAGCCAGATGCTTAACCAGCCAAACAGAGCCAGCCACCCAGGCACTATGGGAAATGCCAATTCTGAAGGTATTGCTTGCCAGGCCCAGTGTTTCATTCCCAAACCTTAACCCTTTGTTGCTAGGGTCACACTGTGGTGGTGAGGGGGAAGGGAGAGGGTGGGGGAAATGGAGTACTCATCAGAATTTCCAGGCTCCCCCTTGGTGGCTCCTGTCACTGGTTCTCCACTTAATAGCAGAAGAGCAACTGGCCTCTGAAATAATCCTTCCCAGTATGTGGTCCCAGACACTCTGCTGCTCAATCACACAGGGTATTTGCTAAAAGAACACATTCCTGGGCCCCACCTGATAGTCCCAGCTTGCCTAAAGTCGTACATACTAAAATTTGACTTTTACAATGGTTCCTTTAGGTCAGTGTTGTTAAAACATTAGACATCTGTTCGCTGCTCTCATCATTTTTTTTATCACAATCGCATAGTGTTTGCAATTAAAATTTAGCTTAAACTCATATAAAATGAAATCATTACCTCATGGGCTTGATATGCTGCCTATGTTTTTCAAACACACGTGAAACCTAACAAAATTTGTAAAAGTTTGTCTCTGCACAGCTTCAAGTTATCTCACGTACTATGGGAGGCAGTACTAATGCCCCCAGGCAATAGCCCTTCTTTCTTTTCTTCCTACCCAGGAAGATAGGAGGTGTATGCGAGAGACTGGGTTTCCCAACCCCTTGGCACTTACATGAAGCCATTTGGCAACTTGTGACCGCCAAGTAAATGTGCCACATCTGCGCTGAGGCAGTGGGATGCTCCCGATGCAATTCTTCTGTCTCCTTTTTTTTTTTTTTTTTTGCAGGAAAGGAGAAGATCTTACACTGAAACGGTGAAACTGTAAGACAGAAGCATCTTGGATTATTGAATCATCACACTGGGGACAGCTGCCCTGGAAGCTTACCCAGGCCCGCAGCAGTCTTCACGTGAACAGGGACCAAAGCTGTGTCCTCTGTGTGGCCTCCACAGCAGGGCACAGCCTCTAGATGCACAAACTGCACCTCCTGCGCTCTGGGAAATGTGCTCGAGGACAAACACGGCATCAGTGAGGCACTGCTACTCCTTTCCTTGCTCTCTGCCACTAAGGTTTACCTTAGCAGGACTTAACTAATATATGGGGCGCCTGGGGGGCTCAGCACTTGAGCCTCAGCCTTTGGCTCAGGTCATGACCCTGGGGTCCTGGGATCGAGTCCCACATCGGGCTCCCCACCTGTTTCTCCCTCTGCCTGTGTCTCTGCCTCTTCTCTGTCTTTCATGAATAAATAAATAAAACCCTTGAAAAAAAAATAAAAAGAACTTACTAATATAGCCAGTAAGAGATGTGGATACCGCAGGCTAAGAAATAAAGTAAATCCCTATGGCCCTCTTAGATAAAATAGGATATGCCCTTAACTTTTCCAACTGAACTCTGTACACAAAAATGATGTCATAAGCAGTATTTATAGGTGAACAGTCAGTACTACGGTTTAAGAACATTATGATTAAAACCATTAATACATCAAAGTATCACAACAGCAATGATGATGATCCTTTTAGGAACTAAAGGTAAATTTTCTTTCGGGTGGTCATGGCATTTCAGGTTCTCTAATCCTCCTTCTACTCTTGCTAACCCTGCTATCTGGAGCATCTCAAATGTCCCACTGATACGGCCTGCCACGGCTGCAGCTGCTGCCATCATTACTACTGGCTTTTACGGGCCAACGTTGCTGATGCATTTGCTGGTTGGTCAGTGCAGATACCTTATGCTGCAGACCCTGCGAGAGTCCCAGAAGTCTGGATTGGCTGTTTCCCACATTCTGTGATTCAAGTCGATGAGAAAAAATGGACAAATTATTTTTGTATGTTGTCAAGAATAGTCCAAAGAGTCCATCCCATCAATAAGACCCATGCGGGACCCATTGCAGTCACTTCCTGGAAGAGGTTTGGTTGATGTCATTCTCATGTCATCATTTAGATAGCTAACAATTCAATGGAGTGGCTTTTCTTTTTTGCTATTTTGACCAGGTATTCTAAAACAAGACAAAACAACTTCAAAATTTAAACAAAAATTTTATTTTATAAAATTTTGAATTCCTTGTTTCTGACTTATTCTAATTTTGTTTTAGGCCCTTGACCATGAAGAAAAGCAATAAACACATGGCAAGTCAAGTATCAGCTTTAACTGATTTTAATCAAAGTGTAGTGATGGCTCTCATGTGCTCTTTATGGCAAAATAAAATTATTGTGCATTAACTTGAAAATATTTAATTTGTAGGTCCTGAGAGGCTTCCCTATAGTCCTCCTTATGAGTTATGGAGAATTCCTAAAAAAAAGCAGAGCTCGCTCCAACCAGTTGCTATAAAAAATGTAATAGAAACTTCCTTAAAAAAAAAAAAAAACTTCCTTAATATATTGTAATTTATTGATTTATGTCTGTTGGAATGAATATTTGTGAGTTATTGGCGCCAATGGTGAATTGTTAGTAATGTATGACTAGCGTCTGCAACATCTAACACTGCACTTCAAACTGATTCCATCAATGGGATAAAAATAATAATAAAATGTAATGTAATGATAATGTTAATTTATTGTGTCCCATATATGCTAGGCACCTTGTAAGGCACATTCCTATAAAATCCAGTTGAACCCAAATAATAGCCCCGTGCAATAGATACCGTTTTTATTGTCATTTACCTGTAAGAAAAATCTGGGACTAGATGCCAAATAACTTGCTGAGGTGGAACACTGGTAAGTGACAGAACCACCATTTTATTTTTAATTTTTTTTAAGATTTTATTTATTTATTCATGAGAGACACAGAGAGAGAAAGAGAGAGGCAGAGTCACAGGCAGAGGGAGAAGCAGGCTCCATGCAGGGAGCCCGATGTGGGACTTGATCCCTGGGTCTCCAGGATCACGCCCTGGGCCGAAGGCGGGGCTAAACCACTGAGCCACCTGGGCTGCCCTATTTCATTTCATTTTTTAAAGATTGTATTTATTGGGGCAGCCTGTGTATCTGTGTCTCTCATGAATAAATAAATGAATCCTAAAAAGAAATAAAGACTCAAGGTAGTTGGTGCTTCAGTGGACAACAGCCTCTGGGACTGAACCTGCCAGATAAAGCCCTCCGTCTGAGGTTGTGGCAGGTAGCGGAGCACACTTTCATTCCACTTCAGGTTACAGTGTCCAGCTGCCCAAGTTTTAGCGACCTGTTTAGTTGACTAGATCTCGCCTCTGCAGGCTGTTAGCTTTGTCTTCTTACCTTGGTAATCAGGAATACTCTGGAGCTAAACACCATGGGTCAAATTATTAAAGAATAAATCTGTAAAGGACCTAAACAGTTTTTTTCTAATAATCTTTATTCTATAATGAAAAATATAGTAGTTGTACAACAAAAAAATTGTTTTTAAAAAATTGTCAAGTAATAATAGTTATTCATATTGGTGGAAATATATTTACATATATGTGCATTCCCACACACATATTTCTAGTAACAGTTACAGGAGACGAACAACGTTTCCAAGAAAGGATTTAAGGGTAATAAATCACTTATGAATGGTTGCTGATGTTTATATGATTTTGTCCAAAAGAGTCCAACATTTTCAAACAACATTACCACTAATGTACCTAAACCAAAGACAACACTTTATACTCAGTCCACCTAAGAAATGGACTCAGTATGAGACCAATAATAAGTGCCATAAACTACTTAAAGAAGTTATCCCTCCACTGGCATCTTTAATCTCATTCTAGAATTTAAGACTACTTACACTTTTCGTCTTCCAGGCAAGAAGTGATCTAATTTTTTTAAGGTCAGTTTCTGGACTATTTACTTTTTTTCAAAAAGGAGGAAACTGGCGGGGGGTGGGGGTGGGGGTCCTGAGTGGCTCAGTGGATGAGCATCCGCTTTCCACTCAGGTCATGATCCCGGGGTCCTGAGATCAAGTTCTGCATCAGGCTCCCTGGAGGGAGCCTGCTTCTCCCTCTGCCTGTGTCTTTCATGAATAAATAATTAAATTTTTGAAAAAAAAAAAAGGGAGAAAAGGGAAAGAAGTCACAAGGAAAGTGATAATAGCAGTTCAATATAGTTTTTAAAAATATTTTCTTTATTTCAAGTCTTGAGCCCACTTTCATTTTCTCTGCACTCTGCATTGGTTTTAAACTACCACTGCTAAAGCCAGAACCAAACCAGTTGGCATGGAGTAATTTTTTGAGTAAATACTCAAATGTGTGAAAAAAAGTCATAAAATGCACTCTATATGGCTTGAGATATTTAGAGACACCAAATCAGTTTCTGTCAATTATTTGAATAATTTCTTTAGTCGTTCACTTTGTCTTGGCTCAATGATCAATGTGTAAGCCTAAAGTGAAGAAAACAGTTGTGTCCCATTATGAAAGAAAAGGAAGGAATTAGATAAAGCCAGTGCAATTATCCATTAGTCAGCCGGCAAGAAACTGAGCAAAAAGGCCAAATATTTTATAATATTTTATAGTATCTTCCATTGTCACACAGTTGGCAAATGGATATAAAGTATATCACATAAAGCTGCCATCAACTCAATGATTATACCTGTTTCACATTAAAATAAATGGAAACAAAACACTACCTTTAAAGTTGGGAAGAATATGACAGAAAATCAAAATATTCAAAATAAATCAGATTTTGGCTATGAACGCGAATTTTAGAGTTCAAAGGAATCACAATGACGGAAGAAAAAAACCTGGCAGAAATCCTACGAAGTCTCTTTTCCAAGGGTTTCCTTTCCTCAACACTATTCCAAATAACCATCTACGGAAGAGAGAAAACAATTCATAGATAAAAAGAAAAAGTGCTGTTGGACCCATTGGTGACTTCCCAAGGATGAAACAAGAATCTCTAAACTCATTATTTCATGTCAGCTTTTATTTAGCTTCGCTGTAATTTCCACAAATGACCTGGCAAAATTATTGCGGTGCACAAGCCAAATTTTACATAGGGCAAAATTTCAGGTATGGTGCCTTTTTAGTTGAATCAGGTGTTTCATTACCGTGATTATTTTTGATGGTCAGTATGAGTGGTTATTTTGCATTACCAGGTAGTTGGGCTTGGAATCTCCCAGGACATAACGCTAGCACCATGTGGAGGCCAAGACTGGAACTACACGTTTTCATATGTAAACGAAACTCCTTTACAAACCTGTTCCTTCTCACCATGGGTTTCCTATTACAAAACAAAGAATGTGCTTTATCCGATGATGTGGCCACTTTATGTAGCCACTTTTCATGACTGATAAAATGGGTCTTGCCAGTTAAGGGAAAATACTTTAAATGTTCTTGGAGAATGTTCTCCAAGAACATTTAAGAACATTAACACTTCTGTTCAGAAAATATTTATGAAAAGGCTTTAAATTTTCAAGAGATGACCATAAACATATGAGAAACAAAGTTAATAAATAGGAAAATATGTCTTGTTAAAACATGTTGATTCAAATTTAGCAAACTCAGTTAAAAAGGTGATAGTTTGTAGAATTCTAACCATACCTGATTTTATGATTATGCATCTCATACCTAAAGCATCTCTAACATTACAATAACTATGGGAGAGGAATATAATTGCATATAACTATCTTTTCTTTATATAATCCTTTGTGTATAATAGGTAATAAATTATGCAAAGATATTAACAGAAAGTATCAACTCTTTTAAACTCCAACCTCACTATACTTGTGGACCAAAACAAAGAAAGGAACAAACAAACCAATCTGTCTTTCCCTGGAGATCTAAACGGAAAGCATATTTCTAATTGTATTAGATACGACTAAGAAATTAGAATGTTTCCAAGGATAAATTAGTGTATATGCATATAGCTATCCCTAAAATTAATCATGCCTAAAGTTAATTGCAGGAGAATTTTAATAAAATCGTTTAATGATCTGAAGATGGATCACCTATCATTGTAAGGAGAGGTATAAAAGTGGATTCACAGTTCAAATGAAATTTTAATAGCTAAGCAGGAAAAGCTAATTGGTACATTGTGTTCTTATAATAAGTCTAATAAGCTTTATCCAGGACTAAAATATAAGAAACAACAACGTGTTGCAAATAGAAATGAAAAGTGAATTAGAGATTCCTTGAGTGATATAAGTTTAAACATACAAAATCTGCTTTACCAATTATTTTCAACCGAGTAATTTTTACAGCATTAAGAACCTGACCTATCTGGGGTGGCTGGGTGGCTCAGTCAGTTAACATCCAGCTCTTGGTTTTGGCTTGGGTCACGGTCTCAGACTGTGAAATTGAGCACACTTTGGGCTCCTCGCTGTGTGTAGAGTCCGCTTGGGGTGCTTCCCCCCTTTTTTTCTCTCCACCTCTGCTCCTCCCTCATCTTTCATTCTCTCTCTCAAATAAATAAAATATTTTTAAATTAAGGACGTGACATATCATCTATTTCTTCCTGATTACCTGATTAAAAATTATGCTAATTTGCTTAAATTCTCAGAATGTTGCTTTTAACTACAACAGTATTAATAGCTATATAATAAGAGAATAATGCAAATAAAATTTTCCCCATTCTGAATAAGCACTCAGGTAAACTAAATGTTCTTTCTAGAATTTTCTGTTATTTGTATTTTTTCAGTTCATAATTCCTTACATCAATTTAATTCTTTTCTATAGGATTAAATAATTTCTCTATAAGAAATAGTGAAAGGGATTTATAAGGGAAAGGAGGCGAACTGAGTGGGAAAAATTAGAGAGGGAGACAAACCATGAGAGATACCTAACTCTGGGAAACAAAGAGTTGCAGAAGGGCAGGTGGGAGGGGGGGATGGGGTGACTGGGTGACGGGCACTGAGGAGGGCACTTGATGGAATGGGCACTGGGTGTTATACTATATGATGGCAAATTGAATTTAAATTTTAAAAAAAGAATTAAATCATTCCTCTCTATTGGATAATCTCCAATCTTATAAAAAATGTAGTAACATTTCCCATCATAATTTTCTTTAAATTTTTTTAAGGATTTTATTTATTTATTCATGAGAGAAACAGAGAGAGAGAGAGAGAGAGAGAGAGAGAGAGAGAGAGGCAGAGACATAGGCAGAGGGAGAAGCAGGCTCCATGCAGGAAGCCTGACGTGGGACTTGATCCTCAGTCCCCAGGATCACACCCTGGGTTGAAGGTGGCGCTAAACCGCTGAGCCTCCAGGGCTGTCCACATTTCTCATCATAAAAATAAATCTCCCTGGGATCCCTGGGTGGCGCAGCGGTTTGGCGCCTGCCTTTGGCCCAGGGCGCGATCCTGGAGACCCGGGATCGAATCCCACATCAGGCTCCCAGTGCATGGAGCCTGCTTCTCCCTCTGCCTGTGTCTCTGCCTCTCTCTCTCTCTCTGTGACTATCATAAATAAATTTAAAAAAAAATTAAAAAAAAAATAAATCTCCCCCAACATCACTTACTTTCTAGCTAGAGAACAATTTCTGAGTTCCAATTTATAATTAAATTTTGTCAAAATATTGTCTATATCTTTAATCTGTTCACCTCATTTTCTCTTGAATCCACTGCATATGTTAGAATTAGGCTTTGTTGCAGGTAGAAAACCCAAAATG